TCTCTGTCATTCACCGTCGTTGTCGTCACCTCCCCCTCCCTCCCTTTCGTTATTTTCGATTTTTTTTCTTTTTTTTTTTCTCTCCAAATCTGAAACATCAGCATCAACGTGACTACTCTGGTTCGAATTTGACTATTGTTGATTCACTCGATTAGTGATTTTTTTTTTCTCGTGTTTGTTGTTTCTCTCGATCTCTCTCTTTACACCACCATCATCTCCACATAGATTTGTACACAACCAATACCGTCGCCGCTCGTTGCCGCCGCCTCCTCTTTCGTTTCCACGTAAGACTATTTCTCTCTTTTTCGTTATCTTTCTCATTTTTTTATTTATTTTTACAGATTTGTCCACCACCACCACCACCACCGTCGCCGCCTCTCTCACTCTCTTTCCTTCACCACCGCCACCATCGCCGTTGTCGTCGACTCCCCATGACTCTCTTTCGTTATTTTTCTATCTTTATTTATGTATTTTTTCGATTTTTTTTTTTCATAACAGGACTATAGTCATGTTCGAATATGACTATATTCATATTTATGTATTTTTCGAATATGATTGTAGTCATATTCGAATATGACTATTGTTGAATATGACTATAGTCGTATTCGAATAACTAGATTCAAAATTTTTATTTTTTGTGTGAATTTTAATTGGATTGTTTTTTTAAACAATAGGGAATCTTCGTTGTTTTATATAATTTGGTATACATAACTATTTCACATTATATAATTGGAATTTTTAAGTTGAAAATGTAAAAAAAAAATGCAATATAAAGAAAGAGTATGTCTACATAGTCACATCATATTCAACTACAGTCATATTCGGAGTTGTAAATCCGTCAAGAAAAAAAATTCAATTTTTTATTTAAAAAACTTTTAAAACAAAATAAAAAAAAATATTTTTATTCAAAAAAATATTATATAAAAATAAATGAAAAATGGCTAAAAAATCCGAAAATAATAGAAAATAAAAAAAATATTTGTTTTGATTTGATAGCAAATTTTTAGGAATTTGAAAGGAGATTTTTAGGAATTAGATTATTGTTATCGAAAGAGAGAAAAAATGAATATTTGTATTTGTGCCGTTTGGGAATTTGATCTCACAAATAACAAATTAAAATTGTATAAAATTTTCATAAGATATAGAAACATGCCTCGAAATCCCCTTTGTTAATAAAATAAATAAATATTGAGTTTCCTCGAAAATTAACGGTTTTAATTATTAATAGTAAAATAAATTTCATGCAATAAAAGATAGGGGTTTTTGTGCACAAGTCCCCAATCAAGCATCTTTATTATTATAGGTTTAGGGGCTATATCTCTTTCATCAATAAGTCCATCCATTTAATATTTATTATAAATAAAGGAAACATTCATGTATAGGCCAATATTACCCCCAATCATTTATACCCAATTTTTAATTGTAACCCCAATTTAATTGATTTTGTCCACACAAATCCAATTTTGACTTTTTTTTAGCATACTTTAATATGCTCCAATTTCATCCTTAACTTAATTTATTCTCAATTTGACCACAAATTTCACAAATTATTCAATTTTGACCCAAAACCTTTTTTTTTCAAAAAAAAAAGAATGTTGCTGTCGGATTCCGGCGTTGACTTTTCAATTTTTTTTCTTTCTTTCGGATTTTTTCGCCGGTTTCTGGCGTTGACTTTATTTTATTTTATTTTTCTTTTCTTTTCTTCCGGAATTTTTCGCCGGTCTCCGGTGTTGACTTTTTTTAGTGTTTTTTTAATTTTTTTTTTTTTTTTTTTTTTTTACGTCCGCCGCTAAACGTTGACTGTAATTGTGCTGTCACTGACAGTAAATTAACGTAATTATACTGTCAATGACAGTCAATTAACGTAATTGTACTGCCGTTGACAATACATTTATGTAATTGTTCTGCCGTTGACAGTAAATTAACATAATATTATTATTTTTTTATTTTTTGTTATTTTTTTTATTTTGTTTGATTTGTTGACAAGTCAACGTAATTATATTACTGTCGTTGACAGTAAAATAACTGTAAACACAATAATATTACTGTCAACAACATCAATATTATTATTTTTTGTTTTGTTTGAGTTATTCACGGAGTAACGTAATAATATTACTGTCTATTATTGTAATATTACTGTAAACACAATAATATTACCGTGGTTGACGGTAATATTACTGTTGTTATAGTAATATTGTTGTCAAGCACATGAATATGTAATTGTTCTGCCGTTGACAGTAAATTAACATAATATTATTATTTTTTTATTTTTTGTTATTTTTTTTATTTTGTTTGATTTGTTGACAAGTCAACGTAATTATATTACTGTCGTTGACAGTAAAATAACTGTAAACACAATAATATTACTGTCAACAACATCAATATTATTATTTTTTGTTTTGTTTGAGTTATTCACGGAGTAACGTAATAATATTACTGTCTATTATTGTAATATTACTGTAAACACAATAATATTACCGTGGTTGACGGTAATATTACTGTTGTTATAGTAATATTGTTGTCAAGCACATGAATATTATTATTTTGTTTGGATTTTTTGTTTTGTTTGAGTTATTCACGGAGTAACGTAATAATATTAATGTCTATTATTGTAATATTACTGTGGTTGACGGTAATATTACTGTTGTTATAGTAATATTACTGTCACTCACAGTAATATTAATTTTTTTGGCTTTTTATTATGTTTACATTTGTTGAACGATCAACATAGTAATATTACTCTATTACACAATAATAATGAGTTTTGTTGTGTTAATATTACTGTGTTAGAGATTAATATAGCAATATTGCTGTGTTAAACTGTAATTTAGTTAATTTTACTGTGTTTAACAATAATATAGTTAATATTACTGTCAATCACAACAATATTGTTGTTTAAACGAAAAAAAAAGTTACAGAAAGAAAGAAAAGAAAAAAAATCGAAAAAGTCAACGCCGGAAACCGGCGAAAAAAGCCGGAAGAAAAAAAATTGAAAAGTCAACGCCGGAGACCGGCGTTGACCGCCGCCGGTCAACGCCGGAATCCGGAGGGAAAAAAAAGTTTTTGAAAAAAAAAAAATTTGACAAAAAAGGTTTGGGTCAAAATTGAATAATTTGTAAAATTTGGGGTCAAATTGAGGTTAAATAAAGTTAAGGATGAAATTTGAGCATATTTAAATATGAGGGGTTATTTTAGTCATTTACAAAAATCTGGACTATGTGTGAACTTATTGGTAAAGAAATTTTTTGTCTGGATCTCTTTATGAATAAGTACCCATTGATGGATTTATTTGTAATCACCCCATTTGAAATTGATCATTAAATAAATGAAGCAAATTATTGTTTCCGAGAAAATAGGCTGGAAAATAGAGGTATAATAATAATAATAATAATAATAATAATAATAATAATAATAATAATAATAATAATAATAATAATAATAATAAAGATAAAAAAATACTAATAATTAATATTAAAAAAATAAAAATATATCAATATTGTTTCTTAAGTTGCCATACCGTTTCTTACTTTTATGTATAAGCTTAGCGTTAATCAACAAACCCAATTTGATTCGGCTAGGATCATATTTGCGAGAATTTAATGCTTAAAATTGGACAATTTAAGTACTTGTTGTGGGTCCGACTCCGACTTTCTTGAGTGTATACAACAGTTAGTACCTTGATTCACGTGTGCGTTCTTACCTAATAAGTTGATTGCCGGTTCTTCTATTATTCAACAAAAAAATATATTTTCTTAAGTGGTGGAAAGAGTATTAGGGATGAATATCAAGTCTTTGTGCATTATTCGAGTCCGAGTCTTATATGCAACATGACACAAAAATGCTTCCTTGGTTGAACACTTGAACTTGTGGAATTCTTCCATCCGACTTTTTTTTTATTCTTTCTTTTCTTTTTTTAACAACTTTCATTGACTTGACTAGCAAATACTATTTGTGTCTATATTATTCTATATCTATCTTTGTCTATACAAACCATAAAGTCAGAACGTTTTAGAGCATCTTCCACGCTTAACACTATTTTTTCATCAAATCCTAATTTTTGTGGTAAAAAAATAGATTTATCTACCACCCGTATGACTAATTGAGATTTTCAGGCTAATAATCGAGATTTTAATTGCATAATTGAGTAATTTTGGTGAACAACTCTTGTATAGGAAAATTTAAATCTTAGGTTCCCCTTTATTGATATTTTTTTCGTATTTAATTTCCTTCATTTTAGATTGATAATATAAACTAGTCACCTTTGGATTGCGATTGTAAAAAAAAAAAAAATTACTTAGAATTAAACAACTAACTATTCCAAGTCAGCTGCCATTCGACTCTTAGGAGTCCATTACTTATTTACGATAAGTGCATTTGCGTATTAATTTTTACCCAACAACTACCATTCGATCCTTTGAAATTAAAAAAATTATTCTCTAATCGAGTTATTAAAAGGGGTTTTATTTTGATATTTCATCTATTAAATGTAACTCCGTAAAATAGGAAGCGTTGACATCAAATATCTAATTAGGGCTGCTAATTAAGTCTACCTGCATTATTGGAGTCACAAAAGAGATGCTACTTTAGTCAATATTGCTGAATTTCGCCATTGACTTAACTTGTGGTAATTTAATGTTCTTCCATTTAAACATTATAAATTATAACATATTATGTGTGTATTGTATATACTCATAGTTCAAAAATATAATTTCAGCCCTATGGGGATGTTAATTAATTGCGAACTTTTGCTAATTTTCGTTCTAATCGTGATCGATGCAGAAAGTAGCGATACAATCAACATCGATCAATCATCGCTTCTTTCATTCAAATCCCATATTACGTCTGATCCTCACAATATCCTAACAAATAACTGGACCATCCAAACCTCAGTTTGCAGTTGGATTGGAGTCACTTGTGGCTCTCGTCATAATAGAGTGACAGAGTTGGATATTTCTAACATGGGTCTCGTGGGCCCCATCCCACCCGAGATCGGGAATCTTTCGTTCCTTGTATCTCTAAACATGAGTGAAAACTTGTTCCACGGCCCTATTCCGTTGTCGATTTTCAACATGTCGAGATTGCAAGTTATTGCCTTGAGGAACAATAGCTTGTATGGAAGTCTACCAAAGGACATGTGCAATAATCTTTACGGACGACGGCTCAGAGTATTTCGTGTATCGTATAACCGATTGTATGGAGAAATACCATCGAGTTTGGACCAATGCTCACAACTTGAAGAAATCTACTTATATGGTAATGATTTTTCCGGTAACGTGCTCAGGGGTTTTGGAAACATCACGCGCCTTAAGATGTTATTTCTTGGTTCCAACAATTTTACTGGTAATTACAGTATATATTTCTTGAATCCTTATGTTTTCTTTTAAGTTTTTTCATATGCAATTCTTATATTTATCTTGTGCATAGTCTTTTAGCTAAAAAGCAATAACAAGTGATTATGAAGGTGTTTGCAAAAGCTTTTGAAAAGTGATTATGAGCCTTTTTTTGGTTCAAAATCACTTTTTAAGTATTTGCAATTCTAATTTTTTCTTCTACTTCTCTAAAAATAAGTTGCTTTAAGCTAAAATTAAAAAAAAAACACCTATGGACCAACTTCTCCATAAATAAGTTGCTGGAAATTGATTTTTCATAGAATTTGCAAACACCGCCAACTTTTAAATAAACATTTATTGTTAACTTAACTCATAATCACCAATTTTTGTTTTTTTAAAAACTTTTGCAAACACCACCTATATAATTGTCTCATATACAATTAAACCTTTGTAAATTAATACAGTCGTGAGTAGTAGAATTCTATTAAACAACTTAATTAATAAATTTAGCATAATGTCTGCGAGTCGGAACTTGGAGAAAATATTATTTAAACGATGTTATTAATTTATCGAGATTCTACTCTGTATAACGAATTTTAACTCTCCGTCCAAATTTTAGCTCATTTAATATTAAATGATTTTTCAATTTAATCAAAAGATTATTAACATATTTTCCTACATATAGGACATCTGCCTACCGACTTGTTTAATCAATTTTCTCAACTTCAATTGTTGGAACTATCATCCAGCGGACTTAGGGGACCATTACCAACTCAAATTGGCAATTTGACATCCCTTCAAGAATTACATCTTTTCGACAACTCTTTAAGTGGTACGATTATTTTTTATGCTTTTCATTGCTAAGTTATATGGTATGCTGCACGGACACGGATACGCGTAAACGTCAATGCGCGAATACGGACACAGTGATACGGTATTTTCAAAACACTAGGATACATGCACAGTGATACAGCATTTTCAAAACACTAGGATACGAACACGTGGGGAATACACTTAAATATAAAAAAATATAGGGGTACATTTATAAATTATAAAAATATATGTATAAGTCGCCAAATCGCATAAGAGAACCCCTCGCAGCTTGCTGCTCGTGTTCTTGGTCGCCGTTGTCGCTAGAGTTTTGAACTTTTTGGTGGACTCTCAAACAGGGGCGGAACCAGGATCAAAACGTAGGGGGGGCTAGTTAAAATTTCGGGGTTCGGGGCAGCGCCCCGAAAAAAGATTTAGGTTCACAAGACATTGCAAACATAAGTTTATATTGAAATTTTTTAATTAAAATGACATATATATTATAATTTTATCATATTTTAAGCATGACAAAAAATCTAAATTAACCCAAATTATTCTAATAATGTATCGTACTTAATATTTTGGGAATCCATGGGATCGTCTCATGTTATTTTGTAGAGTCGTTGATAAAAAAATCACAAATAAATAAATATTCATAAATTTTAAAATAATAGAAGTTTTAACCATTTTATTTAAAAAAATTATATATATATATATATATATATATATATATATATATATATATATATATATATATAAAATTATTGAGAAGAGATAAAAAAAAATTAAGGATTAAAAACACATATTTACAAAAACTTTGGGGGGCCAAAAGTAATATTCAAAAAATGCAATCCAAAATACCTAAAATTTTTTTTTTTTTTTTTAATCTTGGGGGGTCAACAGCCCCCCTAGCCCCTTTAAAGTTCCGCCAATACTCTCAAAGAAGACAGAGGAAATATGTGATAGAGAGAAAAGAAAATGCGTATTTTTAGTAGGGTTTTCTCTTCATACATAAGAGCCGTGTCCCAACTTTTTTTAAATTGCGGACATTACCCGATACGGGTGTCCTACTTTTGGCAAAATTACGACACGACCCGACACAGATGTCCGAGCCGTGTTCGGGTGTGTCCGAGTGTCCAGATGTCGAATACGGGGACTCTTCGCCTTCTAAAAGTGTCCGTGCAACATAGAGTTATATAACGGTTTATTTAATGCTTAATTTTACTCGATATGTAATTTTTATTTACTATTTTTTAAAGTTTTTAGATGGAGATAACTAGAAAGAAAATTGGGGTTACCTTACTAAAAAACACTTTTTTGATTCTTTCAACATGTGAAAGCAAATTATTACCAATGTGTGAGTGTGCGTATGTTTATGGTAATAGATTATCTCGTGAAGTTCATAAGGTGTAGGGTCTTTAAACAAATTAACTACACGAAAATTGACATGAAATATTATTTAAATTCCTCTATAGTAAACGAAATTCAAAATTAATGATTTAAAGTGTAACAAGAATTAAAAGAAGAAAAAAAAAAGGACCGGTCACGCAAGGGATGTCTTAGTGGTTGGAGCAAGTGAGCCTGTGTCAATTGACCTAGGTTCGAATCTCCTTGTCAATGGTTGCTAGGTCGAGCTTGTCGCACATGGTTAGCCTACTGTGTTTACATCTCGTATGATTTACAAGCTATTACATGAGAGTGTAAGTTTATCTAATGTTATATGATTAACTACGAGTTCCTTCATTACCAGAAAAAAAAAGGTAAGAATTTCAGTAAAAAAAATTAGTCCTTTAATTTCACATTGACTTCTTTTTAATGTGAATTCTTTTTCTAATTAAAAGAAGTATTATATTTTATAATTGAATTGCCTTCACAACTTTCATCAGGTACAATACCTTGCACCATTGGGAATCTGTCACAACTCATATTTCTAGATCTTCACTCCAACAAACTAAGAGGGGATATTCCATCATCGGTTTGCAAGTTAACATACCTTCAATTTCTCCATCTATCACACAACAGTTTGGAAGGATCAATCCCGCATTGCTTACGAAACTTGAGTAGATCTTTAGCGGCCTTGCATCTAAAGGGAAATCAATTACGTGGCCTCATTCCAGAAATATTTACTAAGGTTTGTGTTCTTCAGTCACTCAGCATCAATGGCAACAAATTTGAGGGACCATTACCAACATCTCTCGTTAACTGCGTACAACTACAAGTTCTTGATGTAGGAAATAATGAGATACAAGACACGTTCCCGTTTTGGATAGAAACTCTCCCTGTACTCCGAGTCCTGGTCCTGAGATTTAATAGATTTTATGGTACAATATTTCTCGATCCAAAGACTACTTCAATTTCATTTCCCAGTTTGCAAGTTTTCGACATATCCCACAACGAGTTTACCGGCTCTTTGCCTGCGAGGTACTTGGAGAATTTCGTATCGATGATAAATGTCAAAGTGAATAGAACAACAAAAAGAAATTGGTTTTCACCGTATTATACTGAAGAGTCAATGGTGTTTGTTCTGAAAGGAGTGGTTCTTTCTGTGGTGAGAATTTCGAATGCGTTTACGACCATTGACTTGTCTAGTAATAGATTTTCCGGAACTATTCCACGGTCCATAGGAAAGCTTAATTCTCTAAGATACTTGAATTTATCTCGTAATAACATTATAGGAAATATACCTGCATCTCTTGGAAATATAAGCATGCTTGAGTCATTGGATTTGTCTTCCAACCAATTGGCGGGGGAAATTCCATTGCAGTTGACAAGGTTGACATTTCTTTCTATATTGAACCTTTCGTTCAATAATCTTGTTGGGAAGATACCTCAGCCTAGTACCGGGCAGTTCCCTACATTTGAAAACAATTCATATATGGGAAACTCGGGATTATGCGGATTTCCATTGACAAAAAAATGCAAACAGGACAATGTACAAACTTTGTTTCCGGTGTTGCCACAAGGTGATAATGATTCCGATTTTATGGATGGTTTTACTTGGCAAGCTGTTGTTTTGGGGTATGGATGTGGGTTCGTATTTGGAACTACGATCAGTTATTTTATTTTCCGGTATCAAAGACCAAAATGGTTTGTTGGCCTGTTTTTCAATGCTCAAGACAAGATACATGCTAACAAGAAAAGGAATGTTGCACGACGGAGAACTTGATTGGAGATGCAAGTTTTGAGCTTGTCTTTTCATTGTGGTGGAACTATAATATTGAACTTCATAAAATACATTAAAATTTAGAACCATATATTGTATTCTATTTGAATTGAAATTACTCTTAGTATTTGATATTATTATATAAGCACTTTAACATAGATTTCTTTCTATTCTTGCAATACCTTAACTACCAAAATGTAAAGAAAAAAGAAACAATTGCAACAATTATATAATATCATCAATCTCCCCAATCTTGTTTAACTCCATGATCAATAATTTGGGTTATTCTTTGAATTTTCTTATACCAGATTAACTTTAGTTTCAATATATTTTAAAATTGAAGTATTTCTACAATTTTAAGTTTCATTTAGATTTTGGCGTAAACAAGACAAAAAATTTGGACTTAGGCATGGCACGGTTTCGGTTCTTCAAATACTAGAACCATAAGAGGCCCTTATGTAGGGCGGTTCCGAGCCTGTTGCAAACCGCATGTTCAAAGAAACAGTTGGTCAGGTCCCACGGTTAACCGGCGAATAGATGGTTTCAAAAAATTAAAAATAATATATTTATAGTTGTAAAAGCTTTTAAAAAGTTATCTATCTATCTATACTATCTATAAAAGTACCAATTTCATAGTGGTTTCTTCCCTTTTTTGTAAGGACAAAAATAACCTTTTATTAAATATGATTTTAAGGGTAATTATGTAAATAATAGTTAATAATTTCATATTCATTTGTGTATAGAAAAATAACAGTTAGCAATTCCATATTCATTTGTCTTTAGAAGAATAACGGACATACTCTCATTGCAAACTTCAAAATTCGTATACGTATTTATTATGGTTTTAAATGGATACTTAATATGAAAACTCAAACATTGTAGCGATTGATATGCATTTTAATTTGAAGAAACTTGCGCAACCCTACAAAGAAAGAAAATAAAATGGTAGGTGGAAGTTATTACCTCTAAAAATAATTCTCTACCACTAGGCCAAATTTCATTTCAGGCGACGTTTCTTTTGCGACGATAATGTTTTAGTCGCTTGTATTGCGACGTTTTCTTCACATATCGTCGCAATAATGCACAATTTAAATTCAAATTTTAAGAAACGAGTAAATATTGCGACGATTCCAAATTACGTCGCAAAAATCATCGCAAACTTTAAAACGAAAAGTTCCCTGAAGAAAGGCGACGAATCTCTTACATACGTCGCACATATGCGACATTAATGTAAATTTTCGTCGCAAGCGAAAAAAAAATATATATATTTTTTTTAATTTATAATATTTGCGACGATAGTTAAGAAACGACGCAAGGTGATTGGAAAATTAATTTGCGACGTTTAAACATTTTTAACTCATCTATTGTCTTCTTCGTCGGACTCTGTTTTTAACATCCTCTTTCGTTTGTAATTCATCAGTTTATAATGTTAGTAATGTTTGTATTCGTGGGAAGCTTAGTAAAACGAAGAACAAAGGATGTGAGATAGAATTGATATAACATAACTAATTGGTTGCGGTAACAGCACACCTCACTCTATGTATGTGAATGAGTAAACAATTGCAGTTTAACGATGACAGCTTGGTAACATATTCATTTCTGACTTCTGATGTGCGCTTTTATTATTTATATGATTTAGTTCGTAATCTTTTATTAATATGTTTCTAATATATAGTTGAATCATTGCTATAATGAATGTAACACCCTGCCCTTTCGGATAACTCGTTTTATATTTTTATTATTTTTCATAAGTAGATTTTACGTTTAGAAATTTTATGTGCTAATAGGATAATTTATTATGAGCTAGCATAATTAAACATGCATTCTTGATGTACTTTATGTGTGACTTAAATTATGTGATTAGTTGATTTATTAGGATCGAATATTTGAAAAATTTCACACGAAAAATAACTAATTGAAAATTTTCATACTTTAATTAGATTATTGCATTCTAGAATTTAATTTGGATAGTTGGAATATATTTATGCATACACTAAATTTTTAGAAAAATAATAAATTCATGCATATTAGATAATTAAATGAGTGAATAAACTTAGAAATAAAATTTTCCCCACTCTTCTTGTAATTTTCGGCCATGTGGAGACACACATGGATTTTATTTTTCATGTGTACAATTCTTTAATGTAGAAATGCTTATCAGTTGGGAGAATTGAGAGCTTAAGTGGCTTGTACTTTCTTCATTGAGAATGGTACTCCACTTTACATTTTAATTCAAGACCCATTTACTCTCTCTCTCTCTCTCTCCACCTAAGCATTTGAAACCCACTCTCTATCTTCTTCCTCTCCCTAAATTCGGCCATCACCACCATCCCCTCACCAAGAATCCATTTTTACTCAAGCTCAAGCCATAGAACCATCTTCAATCCAACCCATCTAAAGAAGAAATCCCAAGAACACCCCCAAATGCTTGCAAAACTCTATAAATAGAACCCAACACCCAAGTGAATTTTCATCTTCTCCACCATATCTTAAATTTCTTAAGAAAATATCCTTCTTCCTTCTTCTCCATTTTGAAATTATTAGTGTAGGAAGCTCAAAATCTCTCCTCATTTCCAAAAAGAAGTTTCTGCAACTAGAAGTGTGTCTTGTAGTGGGTTATTCAATCCACCAATTCCTTCATATTCCCAAGAGAATCTAGGTGAGAATTTCATATTCTTGCTACAAGTGATTCTTCACCAATATTATTTCTTCTTTCTCTTTTTTTTTTCTTAATGGCCGAAAATTTGGGAAGTTATAGTACTTTACTTGTTTATTGTTAGATCATCCATGCATGTAAGAATCTAAGCTTTAAATGATATAATCTTGAAGAACTAAGAATAATATTGTAATTTAATTTTTATGTATGTATGTATATATATATATATATATATATACTAGACCTGCGTGATCTTAAGGAAACTTCGATCCATGGTTTTCGTGAACATGGATGGTCGAAGAAAGTACTTGATCCATGGTTTATTTGTAATCTATATGTGCTATATATAAGTATATGTCTCTATGTGTATATATATTGACCTACGTGGTTGTAAGTGTACTCCCTCCGGGTCGAGGAAGCTTACGATCCATGGTTTATGATCTATGAGTGATAATATACGAAGATAAAAATCGAGAACAAGATTAATAAAAATGGAATTTTGTGTGATTGAATTGTTGATGGTTCGAATATTTTGGAAAGAAAATGAAATAAATGGAAATTTGGTGCTACTTGAAAGAAAACTTCAAGTCTCTTGAGAAAGAGGGCTTGAACTTTAATTAATGAAACTTGGAGATAGTAATTATAAATAACCGAATGCTTTGAGTTGTTTTGCTATATGTGTAAATATGTGATTTATGTTCTTTGCTTGAGTTGTTATGTGTCTTACTTGCTTTTGTGATTGTGTGACTAAACTATGTGCCTTTGTGAATATGTGGAAATATGTGTGCTTATGTGACAGCTAACTTTGAATATGTGAAATGAAGAATATATACCAACTTCACTTGCACATTTTTAAAGTTGAAAAATCTTGTAAAACATAGATTGAATAAGCACGGGGTATGAGGGACCGGTACCCCAAAAATGAGATGAAGAGTGTGTGGTTTGATTCCACTTATGAAACGGGTTCCAAATAAATGAAGGCTTATTGTCTATGGTTTTACTTGATTTTTCAAAGGATATCCGAAAAATGTTTTTGTCACACAACTAATCAAGTTGCTTGAATTGAATGAAAGTATGTACTAACCTCACTTGCACGTTTTTAAAATTGGAAAGTCTTGTAAAACATAGATCGAATAAGCACGGGGTATGAGGGACCGGTACCCAAAAAATGAGATGAAGATTGTGTGGCTTGATTCCACTTATGAAACAGGTTCCAAATAAATGAAGGCTTATTGTCTAAAGTTTTACTTGATTTTTCAAAGGATATCCGACTAAAGAAAATGATTTTCTCACACATTATATGAGCACTTGAATGAATATATGTGGAAAAGAACGACGACTCCCTTGTGAGGGATCTCCTCTTATTCCTTATGAAATGATGAAAGGAAGGTCTAAGAGGTAAATCGAAAAGTCCTAAGAGGCAAAATCGAAAAGTCCTAAGAGGTAAACCGAGAGGTAAAGGTAAATCAATAAAATTCCTTAAAGAAATGGTGATTAAGGTATATGTATACTTGTACATGTATGTATATGTATGATTATATGATTCCTTGTCTAAGTGTATTTGATATTCTATGGAATTCTCATTGAGTCTCAAAGACTCATATAGGTGTTGAATTGCTTGTAGGATTACCCGATTTCGAACCCGAGGTTCGTGGTTGAAGTTGAGTTCGTGGATCGGGAGAAGAGTTCATAAGGAGGTATGGTGGATTTTGGGTGCTCTTAATATACTAATGTGGTTTTATTTGTACACTTTACTCTTAAAGACATTCGACACCGTTTTAGGTGTTTATTATCGTTCCCTTCCGCCTATTGGAGGAACTTACTATTGATGCATAATGTGTAATGTGACATAGGATTAAGATTACCTATTTTGATATATGTTATGATAATTTCTCAAAAACTTATGTAACTTTAGGGCAATTTTTCCTAAAAACATTATAAAATGCCCATCGGCTAGTTATGTATTGTGTTCTGCCTAGTAGTTTAATAATTCGTGTTAATTATCTCTTGTATACATTATTACATGAAATTTTACAGTATCATAGGACCATCTGTTAGGTTCACGTTGATAAGTCTTTTGCATTATTTCGATAAGCAATGAATTAATTACGAATTGTTTACCAACTCTGCTCTGAAACAGAGTCATTGTAGTATTTACAATAAAATACGAAGTTTTTCTCACTCAAAAGGATTTATTCCACTTTGGATAAACTCCTAACTTACTAATGTACTTTAGTATAGAATTTTATGATTTTTTAAACAGTAGGGAATTATTAAAGATTTTTCAAAGGTCACTCCCCTGCTTTAGATTTTCAAACTGTATAGTTGTACCATTTTAATTATTCCT